AATTGTAAGAGATATTGTATGTATATCAGTGACTTGAGGGTCAACCCTCAAGTTAACCCTCAAGTCAACCCCAAGGGTCTGACCTCCGGGTAGACCCTACAAGTTCAGTCTCCAGCTACATATTCAAACACATAATTAGTGTCAATAGGATAACAACTTTGTAATGACTTTACACAAACTTTCTAATAAATGTTACCAGATTGTAGGAACCCTTAATACATGTTACTATTCAGTTTAGACTTATGTTTCAAAGTCAATGGTTGAGTCAGAAAATGCAAATTACTGACCCAACCCTGAGTTTTCAAAACAGTGGTAGGGCCATATCTCAATGAGTTCTTATCCGTTCTCAACATGTTATATATGAGCAGGAAGGTATTCAATAGGCCTACAAACTGGTATTCAACATAAAGTTCATTGCATACAAAATCACAGACTTTATTACAAAATATATTTTGACTATTAGATTGTTAACCCAATTACTTAATAGTTTCTAGACTTTTCATTAAAAGTTAGATATAGTCAGAAAGGTATTTCAAAGTTCTACAAACTTGATTTCAACCCTGATATGGTTGATTACAAAACCACAGACTTTCACTACAAGTTAAGGTTTATTGAATTAACTTCAAAATTCAAAGTCAACCAAATGACTCCATATTGTATATGGTAGTAGAGCTTCATTGATTGAGTAAGTATTCAGTTCAAACCTATTCAAAATTCATAACCATTGACTCACAGAAGGTGAAATACTCACAAAATATCAACTTTGTTACTTTAGGGCTAGCCTGGCTCAAATAGTATTAGCACTAAATCCCTCTTCCCGTTTACTGCTTACCACTTGTAGGGTCTTACCACTTGTAGGATGGAGCACAGGTATAGCTCTGAGTCTGCTTAACTTGACTCAGACCCTGACTCTGACTCTGACTCTGACTCTGACTCAGACCCTGACCCTGACCCTGACTGTCACAGATAAGACCTGGCCTGTCCGCTCCGGCGCTGGTGTCGGGCCATCACGAGCCTGCAACATACAGCACATGACAATAGGGAACAGGCGCCCCAGTTGGAGGAACGCACATGTGGGAAGCACGTGACCGAGAACAACGTGTCGAGCAGTTGCCGAGCCCAACCCAACACCAGGGACTGGGGGGGAGTGCTAGGAGGTTAGGAGTAGCGCCTGGCCCGCAAGGGATATACAATCATCCCCTCTGTGGCCAGGAATGAGGGCGAGGAGGAGCAGGAGAGGCTAGGGTGTCGGATGTCCGATCACCCCTTTGCGGGCCTGCGTATATAAGGCACAATAGTGTACTATGTACTCTATTGCTTACATTGTCTCTAAAGTACCGCTTCTCTCCGTGCAAAGAGGAATCACCAACTCATCAGGCCTGACACGACCCAATTCAAACCTTTGACCACCAACAGTGACAAGGGACCAAGCTGATCACCCCTCAGCAGGGCTACATATATAAGGTGTGATAGTATACACCATACTCCATTGCTTAGATCACCTATTATACTACCTCACCCTATGCAAGGAGGCATCACCAAGTTGACACTGACTCATTGGGCCTTGTCGACATGACCTGACCCTGACACTGACACCCACTTAAATATCTATTCTGTTCCAGGCACTTGTTTCTCAAGAGGAGTCACGGTCTTGCACAGCCCAACCTGAACCCTGACAGTCAGGGTCAACGTCAGTATCAGGCTTCAGGTCAGGCCGTGCAAGGTCTTCTCCTATGAGCACGTGCCCGGAACAGAACAGACAAATCGTTGGGCTCGCAAGCAGGGTAGATCGAAACCAAAAGGGCCTGCTCTTGGCCTCTCCTGCTCCTCCTATATCCCTGTCAGAGAAGATAATTGCACATCCCTTGCAGGCCAGACACTGCTCCTAACATCCTAGCACTCCTTCCTGTTCCTCCGTGCTGCAAGTTGGGCTCAGCGTCGGGCCCAACACATCTTTCCTGGTCATGTGCTTCCCATATGTGCATTTCCCTCTACTGGGGTGTCTGTTCCTGTCATCACATCCTGTGTGTTATGGGCCGTTGGTAGCCTGATACTAGTGCCCGAGAGAACAGGCCAGGTCTTATCTGTGACACTGACCCTACTTAACCCTGACCCTAGTGGGTAAGGTTGACTTGATCCAGGTTAACACTCATATCATATTTGATACAATTCAAAAAGCTCAAATCATCATTGTTATATAATACAACTAGTATTTATAAGCCTTCTTGTGTTCCATCCTGGTCCTCTTCATTATCCACATTTTACTCTCCCTAGAAAGCATGAGTGGGGGGTTGAAGTGGCAGGGTTTCATGTTAGAATGCACAAAGGAACTGAGAGAGGTATATACTTACCTCATTCATCATATGCATATCTATGTATACAAGATGAGGGTGGAGTACAAGTCAGGTAGGACTTGTCATGATCAGAGTCAGGGGCAGGATATACTAATCAGGGTCAGGGTTAGTATACCCTGACCCTGACCCTGAGACCCTGACCCATGCTCTACCTCACCAACTTCTGAACCTGGCCAAACATGGACCCTTTCAAGATCAACTAGAAAGGGGCAATAGGCAGTTGTAATTTAACAATTGACTATCTGAATCTCATTTTTATAATTGTTTTTTTTGAAAAATCAAGTCACTTATGTGACTTAACATATCATAATTAGTGAACTGTATTGATCATACTCTAGATTTTGAGAGATAGGCTACATATACTATATCTGGCACAAGATAATATAGCAAAACATATAAATTATTGTTCTAAACATGTTTTCTGCTTCCATATCTGTGACCTGTAGGTCAACCTAGACCTGGTTGGACCTATACCCAGAAGGGGCAGGGTTTATTAAGGTCAGGGTCTGCCTTTCAAGACTCAGACCCAGCAGCCCTTTATCTGTAACAGTCAGGGTCTGGGTCAGGGTCAGGGTCAGGGTCTGAGTCTGAGTCTGAGTCAGAGTCAGAGTCAGAGTCAGAGTCAGAGTCAGGGTCTGAGTCAAGTTAAGCAGACTCAGAGCTATACCTGTGCTCCATCCTACAAGTGGTAAGACCCTACAAGTGGTAAGCAGTAAACGGGAAGAGGGATTTAGTGCTAATACTATTTGAGCCAGGCTAGCCCTAAAGTAACAAAGTTGATATTTTGTGAGTATTTCACCTTCTGTGAGTCAATGGTTATGAATTTTGAATAGGTTTGAACTGAATACTTACTCAATCAATGAAGCTCTACTACCATATACAATATGGAGTCATTTGGTTGACTTTGAATTTTGAAGTTAATTCAATAAACCTTAACTTGTAGTGAAAGTCTGTGGTTTTGTAATCAACCATATCAGGGTTGAAATCAAGTTTGTAGAACTTTGAAATACCTTTCTGACTATATCTAACTTTTAATGAAAAGTCTAGAAACTATTAAGTAATTGGGTTAACAATCTAATAGTCAAAATATATTTTGTAATAAAGTCTGTGATTTTGTATGCAATGAACTTTATGTTGAATACCAGTTTGTAGGCCTATTGAATACCTTCCTGCTCATATATAACATGTTGAGAACGGATAAGAACTCATTGAGATATGGCCCTACCACTGTTTTGAAAACTCAGGGTTGGGTCAGTAATTTGCATTTTCTGACTCAACCATTGACTTTGAAACATAAGTCTAAACTGAATAGTAACATGTATTAAGGGTTCCTACAATCTGGTAACATTTATTAGAAAGTTTGTGTAAAGTCATTACAAAGTTGTTATCCTATTGACACTAATTATGTGTTTGAATATGTAGCTGGAGACTGAACTTGTAGGGTCTACCCGGAGGTCAGACCCTTGGGGTTGACTTGAGGGTTAACTTGAGGGTTGACCCTCAAGTCACTGATATACATACAATATCTCTTACAATTTCTCCAATGTATATACTGACAGTTTTAATCACAATTTCTGACATGAATAAATTTGAGATTTCAACAATGATTTCATTGTACTATAAACCTACAGTTTCAGCAGTGGAGAAATGCAAATAGAAACAAAGAGAATCTATGTGCATTTCTCCACTGCTGATTTTCTTTGTATCATCCGTGCTGAAACTGTCAGTGAAATAAAGGTTTCGCCACATTTGATGCGCGTGATATCATGACCAAATATATGCGCGCAGATATGAACCATTTCAGGCATAGTTTCAGTGCCATAGATAGTTTTCACTTCAGACTTGCTAAAACTAGTATATATTTGACCAAAATCAATCTCAGTTTCCAAAAAGTATATTCTGGGCAAATCTACACAGGTTGATTTGGTTCTAGATTCTACCAGAATCTAGAACAGTTTCTACTTCAAGGGATATTTTACCAAATCCGGTGTGAGGTTCTTAATTTTTAGCCCCGCCCCTGAACGTGATGTGATGGGGACGCCAAGCGTGCCGGGCGATCGCTGTGGCGTGATCGCAGGTGATCGTCGCCAGCGCGACGGGCCTTCTGGAACCCGCGGGCGGGGCGGTGCGCGTGGCGACGGCGGACGGGCCGGCGAAGGGAGCACGACGGGCAGATGGCTCGGCGGGCGGTGACACTTGCGCGTGGCGCATGGGTGTAGGCGATGGCGAGGAGAGCGGTGGGGATGGGGAAGATTAGAGCAGTGGGGCAGAGGATGTCGGCGGGGACGATCCAGATGCTGCCCGAATACGCCTGGCGCGCAGGGGTGGCGCAACGTGGCTGCGGCGTGCCGTTGGATGCGCCAAGCCCGACCCTGGCCGGAAATAGCGCACAGCCCTGCCCGGGGGTGCGTTTCGCGATCGTGTCACGCTCACACGCCCCTCGGGAGCGACAGCGCGGGTACTTAACCCCCACCCTTCGCCTGCCCGATTCTTCCTTCCTTCCCCTTCCCTTTTTTCCCCCGGCGGGCTTCCCCTTCCCCTTTTTATTCTCCCCTCCCGCTTTTTTCGTTCCGTTTTTCGTTCCGTTTTTCGTCTGCGCGCGGCCGCACCCTTTCTTTCTCCCCACCCACGAAAACGACTTGAACGATGCGCCTCCCCATCGCCGGCATCGTCGCCGCGCTCTTCGCGGTGCAGACCATCGCGGCGCCGATCATGTACATGCGCGACGCGGCCGCGGGCGACGCGGTGCGCTCCTCCCTTCTCCCCCTTTTTTGCCGGTGCTGATGTGATGCTTGGCAGGACCTCGTGGTGCGCGCCGCGAAGAAGGCCGCGCCGAAGAAGGCCGCCCCGAAGGCTGCGCCGAAGAAGGCCGCCCCGAAGCCGAAGCCGGCCGCGAAGAAGGCGGCGCCGAAGCCCGCTGCGAAGAAGGCCGCGGCGAAGGCGCCTGCCAAGAAGGCCGCTGCACCTGCAAAGAAGGCCGCTGCACCTGCAAAGAAGGCCGCCGCCAAGGCCCCCGCCAAGAAGGCCGCCGCACCCGCCAAGAAGGCCGCCAAAGCGCCCGCCGCGAAGAAGGACGCGAAGGCGCCCGCCAAGAAAGCGGCTGCTAAGGACGCGAAGGCGCCTGCTGCGAAGAAGGACGCCAAGGCCCCGGCCAAGAAGGCCGCCGCGAAGAAGGGCGATGCTAAGAAGGACGCGAAGGCCCCAGCGAAGAAGGCCGCCGCCAAGGCCCCGGCGAAGAAGGGCGACGCGAAGGCCCCCGCGAAGAAGGCCGCTGCCAAGGACGCGAAGAAGGCCGCCAAAGCGCCCGCCGCCAAGAAGGTGCGTGTCCCCGATGTCTTCTTGTCTTTCCGTGTCGCTGACGAAGATTGGCGCAGGCCGCGAAGGGCAAGGCGACCGCCACCAAGGCCGCGAAGGGCGCCAAGGCGAGCAAGGCCGGTGCGTCCCCTGCTCATCCCCCCTCTACCGCACGGTGCTAACGGCCCCAGCCAAGGGCAAGGCGACCGCGTCCAAGGCCGCGAAGGGCGCGAAGGCGAGCAAGGCCGCCAAGGGCAAGGCCGCGAAGAAGGGCAAGGACGCGAAGGGCAAGGCCGCGAAAGCGAGCAAGGCCGCGAAGGGTGCCAAAACCACCGCCCCCGGCGCCCCCGCCCCGACTGCACCACCGGCCCCGCCTGCGGACAACGGCGCCGCGCCCCCGCCACCACCACCGGCCAACACCCCGCCACCGGCTGACAACAACACCAACGCGAACAACAACAACAACAACGCACCCCCGCCCCCACCCGCTAACAACCCACCCGTCGACAACGGCGCCGCTGCTCCCCCACCACCCCCCGTCGCCGCCCCCCCGCCACCACCCGTCGACACCGGCCTCGGCGCAGGCGTCGGCGCGGGCACGGGCGTCATCGGCACCATCGGGCAGGGCATCGCGGACGGCATCGCGGGCGGCGCCGCCGCGGGCATCGCGAACGGCATCGGCGCGATCACGGGCGGCATCCCCGGCGTGGGCGCGCTCCCCGGCACGCCCATCATCGGGAATACGCCCATCGGGGCCGGACTTGGCGTCGGGGGTGCGGCGGTGGACCCCGTGACGGGCCTCCCGATCGACCCTGCGACCGGCCTGCCCGTCGACCCTGCCACTGGCCTCCCGATCGACCCCACTACCGGCCTCCCGGTGGACCCTGCGACCGGCCTCCCAGTTGACCCTGCTACTGGGTTGCCCGTCGACCCCGCCGCTGGGGCCCCGGCGATCGAGGACCCCAACGCCATCAACAACGCCGCCGCTGCGCCCGTCGAGGGCGACGTCGCGGCCGCGGTCGAGCCGGAGGGCAGCGTCGAGCCCGCTGTGGAAGGCGAGGGCGAGGGCGCGGTCGTCGAGGGCGAGGCTGGTGTTGAGGGCGAAGGTGCCGCTGTTGAAGGTGAAGTAGTTGAAGGCGAGGCTGGCGCGGAGGGCGAGGTGATCGTGGACGGCGCGGTGCTCGACCCCGAGGCGGTCGCGGACGCCGTGGCCATCGTGTAGCTGGTAGATAGTGCGTGAAATGAAGCGAGTTGAGGAGACGCGTGACGCGGCGTGGTGAGGAGACTTGGTGTGTGTGCGGTTCGGCCCCGCCCGCGCTGTTTCTGTGAATGGTAGCGTGTCTTTGTGCGGGGTGTTGTCTGCCGTTCGACGCGGACGCTGGGGGTCGTATGAAGCGATATCTGGCGCGGAACCAGCGTGGTCGCGCGTCCGGCGTCCGGCGTCCGGCGTCCGGCGTCCGGCGTCCGGCGTCCGGACTGGCGAAACTTGGGCGTGCACGCGGTTTGTCCCCGCGCGCGGCATGGGTGTGCCGACGGATAGAGTGCCGTCGCTTCGCTCGATCGGCCCGTAAATTTGACATTGTACGGCGCGCATTTTTTTCCATTGTTGGCATCCGATGCAGGTTGCGCGGCGCGCCTTCGATGGGCGATCTTTTCTTGCGCGGTGTTCTCTGCCGCTCGACTGGGACATCTTGCTGATGTAATACAAAGCAACATCTGCGGCGGATTCGTCGGGGCCCGCGTGCGTGGGTGCGCCATGTCGCTCGTCCGGAGTCCGGACAAGCGCAACTCGGGCGTGCGTGCGGTTCGTTCCCGCGCGCGGCATGATCATGATGAGAGATGATTGATGGCTGCAGTTTGACCTTTTACATTTTGAACCCCAGACACCAGCCTATTTCTATTTGATAAGTTCAGCTTGTTGTAAACCCTCGAGGTCACTCTCAATAAACATTGTCTCAATGTTGTCAACAGTGCGCGAACCTTGTGACTCTCAAATGGAGAACAACACGACTGCTGCTGTGCCTCAAAGTAGACCTCCTCTAGTCAATTAACATTCATGAGCACAAATACATGTAGGTCAGAATCCCAACACTTGTAACAAACACAGCACACCTTACTGACCCATTTCGATCAATTCAGCGGGCCTGTGACCCGTGACCGTTTGGCCGAAATGTCCAATTCGGCCGCAGGCCGAATTTCGCGTGACCTATTACCCGATTAGGAAGTTTGGCGCCGAAAATTTGAAGATCTTCCCGATTGGGACAGTTTGGGACCAAAAGATTTGGCTGTGACCCGTGACCCGCCGAAATATTGCGGCCAAAAAATCCGATGTGACCGTGACCCGCCTAATTGAATGAAATAGGTCAGTATTTCCATACTGCCACCAAGGGGCCAGTCCAAAAAAAATCCTAGACATCGGGTCGAAAAAGTGCAATAAGCACCAGCAGACCCTCCCTACCCTATTGACTAAGCATGACTAAGCCACATGACTTCCCAAAAAGGAAATTATTTGTTATCACAAATCACAGATTCAGTCACAATGAGCCAGAAAATCAAAATCAGTACCTATGCACCAGATGCTAAACTAAGACACTGAATCACTACAAGTGTGCTAGTCCTCTGGCAAGCTGCATTGGAGCACTCAAGCTCATTATCCTCCACCAGGTCCCACCATGTCTGCTTCAGAACATGCCATGTTTGCTGCAGACAGATAACAGTGCATTTATGGACCAAAAGATGGTGCTTCTGGACATCTCCGGACCTTCCCCAGACATAGTCTAAAAAGTGAAATTTTTGTCTGGGGACCCCCCCCTACCCTATGTCACAAGCATGACCCAATGTCTCGGCTTGCTGATCTGCGGGCCCCTTGACTGCCACAGTTCCCAAGATTTGCCTACAGGCTATTTGAAACAGTACACCAGATATACAATTTGAGGAGACAAGTTAGCTAGAGTGCTAGGTGCTGGCCTGCTGGCCCGCGCCGGTGTGCGGTTTGGTCCCGCGCTGGGCCCTCATTCAGAGTCATTTCATTATTTTTTACTTTATTTTTATTTTGAATTGCTTGATGGGCTGTTCGTTGACTGTCGTTCTGTGTGCAGGTTTCGTTGCAGGAGTGTCTCCTTGCCTCGCACACAGATGTCCATCCCCTCCTTGCTGCTGCCCAAATAGTTATGACATTTGTCAAAATTTCTGAAAATAACCTTCTGCTGATCTAAGTTACCCAAAATTTTGAAAGATGTCACATTCAAGCAGCCTCTCACCCAGCAGGGGCCCCACCCCATCTCCCACAACACATATGCATAGCCAATACAGTCGGGACCCACCTACATGTAGCGTCAAGGGCAAGAACACGGTTATCGAGGGCAAATGTGAAGAGGGTCCAAGTGCCAAGTTGATATCACAGCCAGGGGAACAGCCCCAGCGCCAACTGCTTAGGTACAGGGCTATCGGCGCACGTAATCAGTCACATGATCAGTCGCAGCTGTCACATCACATGATCCCCTTACAGTGAAGGTGAAGTTGTTGAAGGTGAGGGCTGCTGTTGACAGCAAGACAGGCACCATGGGCAAAACGGTCTGGGACCGTGTGTAGAAGCAAAAATAATGAATGACTATCACAATCCAAAGCTTCTCCGACTCCGACTCCTCATCTCCCTGCTCCCTGTTGCCCACCCACAATGTCCGCTATGAGAACCCAGCAATCACACCAATGCTACCAGGCAGTACAAGCGCCTCGGCGGCACACAGGACCACATGCACCACAGCTGGCTGCAACTGCAGTCCCGGCACCACGTTGGTTGGGGGAAGCAAGAGGACGCCCGGCAGTGCAGAGGTTGGCAAAGAGATAGCCTGTGGTGAGAACTAACAGTGTTTCAGTAAGAGAGTATGAGATTAGTATAAAGTTTCTGGCAAGTCGTCTTCTTCTGAGTACTGACCCATTCCAATCAATCTAGTGGGCCTGTAACTGTTTGGCCGAAATGTTCAATTCGACTGCAGGCTGAATTTCGCGTGACCTATTACCCAATTAGGACATTCGGTGCAGAAAATTTGAAAATATTCCTGATTGGGACACTTTGGGACCAAAAAAATTTAGCTGTGACCTGTGACCTGTGACCCACCAAAATATTTTGACCAAAAAATCTGATGTGACCATGACTGGTCTAAGTGAATGAAATGGGTTAGTACCTTTATACTATTTCGAAAGTAGAATCATATACATGAAAGCAAAAGTGTCCTATAGTGTCGTATAACAACAACTAGGGAGATGAGAACAGTACCTCAGCAATCAGTACACACTTTGTCTGTGTTACATAGAATTCTCTTAATGATAGCTGAGCAATAGAACCCAATTTGTCTCTGGGCAAGCAGCAACCAACTTTGCTGGTGTATGAATTAATTTTCTATCCAAGATGGTATATGTTGCTCAATCTATAGATAATACCATTAGGGGAGTTCATAATAGGTGCACTGGGCAACTGGTTGGGCAAGACTCCAAGCAAGTGAATATTCTATTGCTTGCCCAACATCTTGCTTGGGGTGTTCATAGTAGGGCAGGGCAATGATAAATGAAATCTATTACACTTGTGCCCAGAACCCTGGGTTCATATCATGATTGTTACTATAGGTGTCTGTAGAAACTGGGTGGAGGGAGGAGACAATGCCCAAGGGGATATATTCCAAGAAGAAAAGGTCGTTACAAGGGCTACTCAAATGTGGGTAAACAGACCAAATATATATATAAGATCAATAGGGGCTGGGACTTAATGATGCGCAGGGACCTTATTTCAATCCTGTCTAATATGATTCTTGCCCGATGCTTGGATACACATTGCCCACCAAGTGTTTTGGTGTTCAAAACCTTCAAATGTTTGATACATATTTTCCTTGTAGTTTGCCCAGCCATTTGCCTGGCCTACTGTGTACTCCGATATTGTACTCTTATCCACTTAGACCTTCTAAATTTCTTTAAACTTGCACAAAAATTCTTAATCCCTGTGTGTTCTGTAAAGAACTGGTCCATTCAAAATTGGTATTCTGTTGTATAACAAAATAGATTGCTGATATGTACAATATTTTATAGTGATCATATGATTATTGCCATTTCTTAAGTATCTCAAATGATTTGTTATATGTGGTCCTAATACCCAATAGATATTAGATAATGAGTAGTACCTATTGTAATAATTCCAACCTCCTTTGAATCCACTAGAGGAGCAGTATCATTAATATACCTTGTCAGATGCAGGTTGAACCACCATCTGCCTCCGTTTTATAGTCCACAGTTCAGCTTAAGGCTGGGCCTGGATTTGATGGTTGGGTTTAAAAGTTTGCTTTTTTTCCCCCAGGATGTGAAGAGGATCAACTGATGCAGAGAAAACTTGGGTGATATGCCTATATACCTGCCGTTCCAAGTGAACCCTCGACAGTTGCAAATAGCTGTAGTGCCAGCATACTCTACTAGTGAGCCCTAGTGCTAGTTGAATACTGTAGCATTTTATTCAATTCGGCGGTCACGCGTCACACCGGCCATAAAATGCCGAAATTTTTTCGGCGGTCACACTCGACAGCCTAAACGCTGAATTCCCTCGGCTGATGTACCATTTTTGGCTGGCGCGGCCCTGCGGGCCGCGCCGAAATCTGCCCAAAATTTTCGGCGGTCACACTTGGAGCTGCCGGAGGCCGAAAATTTCATTTCGGCACCGATGTCACACCGATTTCGGGCGCCGAATTGAATAAAATGCTACAGTACAGTCATGTGAGGACATGCTGTATTATTTTAATCAGTTTGTCAGGGGGGTCTGACCCTAATTGCGCGTGACACCCCTGACAAACTGAACATTTGGTCAGCTGCGCAGGCGTGACTGATGAAAAAATGGTATATTCATATATAGTGTTCTGAATAGATGTATTTCTCTTTTCAATGAACTACAAATATAATCGATTAAGCATTCTAGCCACCACCACTAAGCAATTGCTCTCCCACTGTAGCAGGGCTTTCTGGCATGAAGTCATGGATCACTAGTCAGTGCTCCGATGTCCATTTAGGACATGCCCCTGGCACCCAGGCATTAATACATCAACGCGCAGATAGGTACTTACTGTACATATGCTATACTCGAAAACCAATCATGTAGATCTCCGACCCCTCCGAGTCAGCCGGTGCTCAAATGGATTTCAACATAGATGGCTCAGTGCTCACTAAGAGCAGCGCACGCTTAATTAC